TGTCTTCATAAGTTTTCCCATCGGCTGTCCTGCTTAGATGAACCTTGACCTTCTTGGTGTTATTTGCTTTTTCTGTTGGATGACAGAATATCTTTTTCCCATACAGAATGAAACAAAAGTTGTGCATATATGGAATAGTGTACCGATCAGGAACAGTTATGTTGTTCACTGTGCGTTAGTCACCACATGGACATTAATCATGATCTTTCTTTCCAACCACATGTAGCGGGGAAGCCTAAGAACTGTTAAACAGTTGTATGATGCCTAACTGCATCATACGTTCAAACTCTGTTTTTCAACTACTAGTTAATCGGGTGTTAGGGATCTGCAACTTGCACGGGTAAGCTGGCTTATATTTGATATTGTATGTACGGTGGTATGGAGGCCTTCCTTGATATGATAATGAGGTATTTCAGCAGTGGAAATTTCTGGAGTTAGCATGCATATGTATCAGCTTCAGGTTTGGCAATACAGACTCTGAGAATGGAGTAATCCGATACAATGCCCCGTACAGTCAGTCCAGTGCATGAATTAACGCACTTTTTCTGTTTGATGTCGAATAGAAAACTGAAAGCACTTAGAAAATCTGCATTCAATATGGGGTGATAAACATGGGCGGAAATGAAGATCGACGAGAGACAGCTGCGTCAATTGAAGTCTAATATTAGTCATTGTTCACCGAAAGTCAGAATACATATCTTGTTTGCCTCCTAAAGGGACAATTTATTGGATGCTATAGGTGGTTACCGTAAGAGTGAACACGAAATAACAAAATTGACAGCCCGACGTTTTATCCTCCACACAAAAGAGGCTACTGGAATGTTTGACATTAGCAGCTATCACTACCAGCGTCTGGTCATCAAGTTTCCTTGGACCGCTAATGAGTTTTTACTGAAGATATAAGATACCGCACTTCTGTTGCTCTTGTGACCAAACTTTCTACGGCATTAACAAACGTCTTGTGTGCTCTTTGGTAGTTGGGAACGCCTTATTTCACATGAGCGCCCACGAGACATGAAACTCGGGGGTCAAACATATATATTGGAGGCACTAGTGTCCAAAGCTTTGAAACCAGATATCAACACAACCAACTAATTACTGGAAATTCCGGTTCTTTAGTCCCATACCAGGATGAGTCAGCTGCACAGGGTTGGGGTTTTTGTCTGGTCTCCAACTGGTGTCAATCCGTGATGACGAGAAGAAATAATCTGTTAACAGTTAGGAAGTAGTAAGCATGATATTCTTGAGAATGCTGACTTTCTATAATCTGTCCTTGCCATTCTCAATTACCTGCTTCGTCTCCTTAATTAATTTTCTTCCCTCATCCACTTCTTTCTTTCTCTATTATACTACAACAGTTTATAAATACCTTTGATCAACTAACTGACTGATTCGCTAACTGAAAACCACTCATTTCAACGGCTTTATGATTTTTAGATACAAAGAATAAGCCTTACAAAACCGTCGACTATGACTACACCACATGTCAATCTGCATCCATCCATTTGCTCAAGTTTACAGATCTTGCAAACTTGTAATATACTGTAGTATACTTGACTAGCAGTTGAATCCAGAAAAGTGTTTCGTCAGCTGGACGTCTCTGCAGTCCAGGTTGTGATAGCATTCCCACTGAGACCAACTCGATTACAGCTGATAAATAAGAGTAAAACAGTCAATTAAACTAGCATCACCGCTCTTTCAAGTTCGTAAAGACATTAATTTATCCATACAGGTTTAACTAGATGACATGGTGTTAGCTGGAGTCAAATAAAACTATTTGTATATTGTTGGCAGCTATGGACTTATTTAGTTTTGAATCCACCAAGTTCATCTGAAGATGGGATCAAGTTATTCGTTTGAGAAATTAAGTTTTAAAATTGCACACTCGTTTCAAGTTGGATGTACAACTAGGCGGCCTAACAAACATGTTACTGAGCACCTACCATCGCGTCTAGGAAAGGGACAAATGAAGTCAGTACGAAGCTCAGTTGTGTCTCATTTGGTCTATAGCGGTCATGTAATGGATAAAATCAAAGTGTTCAAAATCATCTATCGCATTCCACAAAATATTACTAATGGAATTCGTACTGGCATATTACATATACCTGAGGCTATGGGACCTAGAGAAATCAACCCTACTCTTTGTGTGCAGAAAACGTTTGTGCAACGTTGCCCAGAGAAAACTTAACAAATGAATTTAAAGATAAATCTAGTTTCTAATCCCTTTCCTTTTTTCACCCTTTTCGCACAAATTTTTATTTGCTTAAACTTTGATTATCTACACACTTCATCCTTTAGTATTACGTAACTTACGTTTTGACCTTCATTGGTTGCTTAAGTGTCTGCAGTAATGTGTTGTTCCCATTATTCTTATTATCACTGAGATTATTATTATTATTGCTATTTGCGGAAGCCATAGCCATTAACAAATTGAAATCACCTTATGTGTACAAAAACAATTTGTTCTTACACTACACCTACCTTGGTAAACTTTGTTTTCTTACCAAGATTAGGATCAACTAGGTCACTCCTCCCGTTTGTTCTCATCTTTCTTAATTTTAATCCCCTATTGTGTTAATTGTTGTATTTGCCCTCCAACTCTTCGGTTTAATATTATTGCTATTATTATTATATGCATGTCTGCTACTTGCATGCTTGATTTCCCTGTTACCACAGCCTAAATAATCCACCATGATTGGTTTAATGTTTTATATACGAGAAAATTTATGTATATTAGCGTAAAGCCTGATGACAGTTAATTGAAAACAATATTGTTCGTTCATGCGTCTTCTTCAAATGCATCAAAGCTTCTTGATCGACTTTAGCTGACTTTAATAATGGTCATGCATACAAGTTTATTGAGGCTGCCGAAATTTAAGAGTTTTACTGTGATTCACTGTTTACATGTAGGGAGTCTTACTGAGCAAGAGTAGAACTTCTAATTCTTAATGGAAAGTCCCGGCATATAGGAGACGATTAGTTTATTGTCAACCCGAGAAAAATGGCTATTTGCTTGAGCTGATGACTGATTTACCACCATTTTGTGCCCATAGTGTATCATCTTGCTAGTTGGAGCTGAGCCATAACTTAACTTGATGCTCAATCTGAGCTAACGAAGAATTGGTTTGGAGGGTGGCCAAGTAAAGGTAGTCAAAGTAATATATGGTGCAAGTTCATGAAGTTTCTAACTGTTGGTCCGAATCCAACAGGCGCCTTGACTAGGACACCCGAAAAGTTAGGGACCTCTTTTCATATGACTTGGAATCTATTTATATGGCGCAGAGGGATATACTGTTTATCATTTTCGAAATTTCGGAAACTTGAAGAGAAGGGCTTTTATGTCAGCAACTGTCTATTTTGATTCTTTCAAAATCGGTTTAATTGGGAGTATGAAACTAAATTTACTGGCGGTTCTCATTTATTTTCCATCTCTTAATCTTGGTTACTCCCTAATTATCTTCCCAATATTCATCATCGTTTTTATACAAAGGAAGGCAGAAAGACTTTTTTCGTTACGTGATAAACGTTCATCTTCAGGAGATAAAACACATCGAGATACGTACGATCGCCAGGCAGACTTTAATTTACAAATCCTTGTGCTTCAGGGTATATTCCCACACGTTTGTATTATTTTCGTCATATGATTGACTGAGATTCCTTGTCTTAGTGAAACCTTCGCTCCACTTCATACCAAAAAGAAAGTCCCGCTACTTTGTATACGAGTGTTACAACACAACTAACTGTAGACCATTGAATCACTTCAGCCTTTACGTATCCATGCTTGCCTTATGTACCCCTAAACTCCGAGTAATCTCCTTTGAGACAGGGTCATTTGCATGAATAATTCGCCCGGTGATAAACCGCCATTGTGGATACGCTGATAAGTTTTAACATAGTTTAGGATCGAATATTAGTTAAGGGATGGGTCAGCCAGCAATGAAGAGAGAGTAGTCTAATCAGTTATGATAAAAATATTGGGCGTTTTACAATAAAAATCACATTGGTGAAAATTCGCCTTTTTCAAATTAACAGTGTGCAGTCTTTACCCCCTCTACACTTTTCCTATGGAATCTGCATCACTCGATTGTTATTATTTTTTGTAATTCTTAGCGTTTCACCTCATACTACTGATATCCATTCTTATAAGTAGTTGTTTGTCAAAACTGTATCTGCTTTTCATCTGTTCTTTATTTCACAATCTTTCATAGTGATTTCATTACTGTTCTATTCACTAATCGACTTCACCAATGTTTATTCAAAACAATTATGATCTGTTAGAATACATGGAAATGCATTACACTACATAATCCTTACTGAAACTACTTGCTATGGCGTAACCAGTTGACATGAGCACATTATCCATGTTGTATATTTTGTATATAAGTAAGCTGGTCTTCTGATTTCAATTTCATTGGAGCACTGACTTTGTAGTTGGAATTTTGATGACTGGTCAGTTATCACTTGGTGTTAAACTGTCAATCAACTCCATGCGGTCAATATACAACCAGTCTTAGCATTCATTGTATGTCTTGGATTTCAACAAAACATATAACTGGCAACTATCCAGTTGGTATCTCCTAGTCATACTGGTTTTTCTCCCCAGCTATGAATTCCAACAAACTGGGCCAATACAGTGAGAAAGCCAACAGAAGCTGATAATTGGAACAGCTCGTTGATAATATCTTTTAGGATATATAAAGATGATGAATAAACAGTGTAAAATACAAAATAACAGTTATTTTGGATGAAAGTAATTGGCTCAAAACCCTGCTTTACTCAGATCTCATGTTTGCTGGCACTCCTCAACAAGGCATGTCTGTAACGCCAAAGGAACTGATGCTTACTGAGAGATTAGAAACCGAGTCACCTAGTAGTGGTCTCAGAGAACTTATCATTGAGCTATGCGGGCTGTCTGCCTTTGACTAGCTAACAACTATCATAGTCCACCACGATGGCAAGTCTCTCAGCTTGGTGGCCACATTTTAAAACGATCGATGAAATTCGCATATGGACCATGTTTTATTCCTACTGGTAGTTGTATTTTTCTAGGAGTAGAAACAATAACGAAATGTCTTACGGAAACAAAAAATATTTCTTCAGTTCAATGAATTCATTCATTAAATTATTTATTCGAAGTAAAGTTTTAGATAAGCCAACTTTCTTTGATAACGTTTAGACTGTGTAGATGTAGAAAGCTGAAATAAAAACACAGAAGGCAGTAAAAGGTAAATTATACTTTCTTATTTAGGAAAGAGATTCATCTTTTAAATATTTGTCGTTTGACTATTCCTATCAGCAGATTTCACGGCGGAAATTTCATTCTGTGTAAGACTCATCAGACGCATGCATACGTATTCCAGTAAGGCGGGATTACTCAGTTCTAAATGAAACGGAACCTCAAACATTCTGGTCACCTGAGAGTTCACCTACTCTTCCACTAAGCTGCACCAATTACATCATGATAAAATTGCTAACAATATCGAGGCAAATGTACAAATAAGTGGGGTCATCAGAAGACCATTTTTCCAGTCGAGCAAAGTGAATAATAAAAGAATTAGACTTTCATTAGTTTAAACTCACTTTGTCTGTATTCACTGGTATTGTACTCTTTTGTTCAACAGAAGGCAGGTTAACTGGACGGAGCATTGTGTCTCTTTGCCACTGTACACGTCGACCAGGTTTACTTGTAATATCATATGCCCCAACGCTGTGGAATATAATATAGGTGGGTTTGTGTTATGGTTGAATATTTCAAGTATTGATTGATATCAAACTAAAATCAACAGTGAAAGTGAAATGAGTATAATAAAGAAACATGCAAACATTCAAAAGTCTTTTCACTAAGTGTCCTTGCCAAATATTCAGATAGCTGTCATAGCTTCCACTTTTTCCAACCAGTCTCAGGGTAGGCAAGCATTGATCGGTGAGGTAGTAGATCGGACGACAACCAAAACGTATGTTTGAGCAACTGAAGCTAGTGTTTCAGGATGACCACACTGAATGAATGACGGTCTCCATAAAGCCCAAAAACACACCACTTCACCACAGAATTACTTACATAGTGTTTCCACTGGGTTCCAGCATTCCTATGAAGACAAAGATGATCAGAATGCAGAGTTGTCGAACATTCTTAGCTTGGAGGACTCAGTCTTCTCAGGTTAAGAGTGAAACTGCCTGCATCAACGCGTTGTATGTTAAAAATTTTACAATAAGGTTAACATCACGTCGGCATCAGATGTTGCCCAGATTAGTATATGTCACTCTGGTTATCAGTTCACAGTTGAAAATCTCATCAACTACATCTCCAACACCGTTCAAACAACTACTCAAGTACATAACTGTCAACTACTTCCGACGGTCCACAACCAAAGGTGAGTGCAGGCAGGTGTAGACTCCTCCCAATCTAGTAAAAGCACCTGGCACTTCGAAGGTGCGAACCACATACCGTACGGACAGATTCTGACCGCCAACTGACTGAATGAGATTTGATTAGCCTGTATATTTTCATACAGTAAAAAGACACCACCCACATTCTCGAGGATGGGAAGTCTTTCGCCTGGTAAAAGGTCTACACCACCATGACTCATTTTCTTCAGGGCGTTCCCTAGAATGTCATCAATGAAAAACGTGTAGATGAATAAGGTAATTAGCTAGCCTTGCCTAACCCCACTATTGGTTTGAAACAACTGAGAATGATGGTTGGTTGTATGTTTTCACTTCCCCTGAGGCGTTGGAGTATAGGGCTTTCAAGAAACTAACAAGGGACACTCCTTTATAAAGGATACTTTCAGATTAAGCCCAGTTCAACTATAACATCAACTGCCAATCAAAAAGTATAAGTATAAAAATAATAAAATTATCTGCGACAACCTGTATATCCTTGAAAAATGTGAATATCTGACAAAGTAAAACAGCTGAATTTACCCAACAGTAGATGAGCCAAGAACCAATTTATCTGTTCTCGGTGCACATTGATTAAATGGCTTTTTATTCTGTTTAACAATAGATGACTGGTTAACAAAATTTTGATAGGCTCCTGGATCTGGAAAACCTGAATTCTAAATATAAATAAAACACGAAGTTAACCAATCCATTACTTTGAAGGTAACATTATGTAGCATTGAATAAGTAAGAGAGAATAGATTAAATGATGATAATCAACCATGCTATATAGTTTTCTGGTCCAAATGAAAGTGTGCTAATCACTTATGCCGTATGGCTGAGTGACTGGATCGACTCCCATCATGCTCAGCACTTGGAATTGGCTATGATGTCTTCTTTTGAATTCTCATCCACCATTGTCCCTACTGATGTCGATGAACAGTGGTCTACTAATGGGACTATTTGTGATAGTCGTGGTCTGGCAGATTGCTCCTATTCATACTGGATGATAAGTGAAGATTTAAGTGAAAACCTGGGTTGCAACAGGATTCGAAGCAGCAGCTGTCAGTTTCGATCGAATGGAAAGACAGGAATAACCAAAGTTCTGTCAGAAGGTGGACTGTGAATACGGTACTGCAGTTATGTTGAGAGATGAATACACACAAGAAAAATGAAATCTACAAACTCCTTGAATTCCTTATGTAACTCTGCTTGAAGATGAGAGATGAAGGCATTATTCCATCAAAATATAAACTATTCTCCATACAGAGTGGAGGAAACTAAAGAAAAATGTATCGGAATAATAAAACTAAAAACACTATTCAATCGATCTTTGGAGTACAAATGCAAGCCATGAGACAAACCATCACTTCTTATCAACATAGGACTCCCAAACCTACACCGGAAAACCAATCCAACCGCTAAAGAAACTTCAAAGCACAAACAAAATATAAAAAATAGAAACAAAATTATTCCTCACTGCCATCGGAGTGGCGAAAAACGCCGGTTGGTGGAAGACTCCAGGAAGCCAATAGGCCGATAGGTCTTCTGACCCTCAATCAAAGCGAAAGTAGAAATGGGGACATGGAATGTTCGCACCATGTTTACACCTACCAAGGCTGCCCAGATTGAAAACGAGATGAGTAGGTATAGTATTGAAGTGCTAGGAATTTGCGAGGAATCTGCAGGTGGAATGGAAGTGGACTCTCCTAACTGTCAACTCGAGAAGAGTCAATAATCTACTCCAACATCGTCACCCAGACGACAACCACGAGCACACTGAGTTTTAGAGTGGCTATCATGATGTCCCCAACAGCATCAAAGGCTCTCTCTCATGCAGTCGGAACCAATCTCCTCCAGCATCAGAATCATGACAGCAAGGTTCAACTCACAAGGAAGGAAAGTCACAATCATTCAATGCTATGCTACGCACCTAAAAAATAATGCAGATCAAGGGAAGGAGGAGGAATTCTACAGACAACTGCAATCAACACTGGACAAGACCCCATCCCAGTTGGCGACCTCAAAATTCTAATGGTCGACATGAATGCCAAACTGGGATTGGACAATACAGGAAGGGAACTAACCATGGGTCGAGAAGCGCTCGGTGAGGTGATGAACGAGAATGAGGAATCGTTCTCAGAATTCTGTGCATCCAACGACTTGGTGATTGGAGTCATGCAGTGTGTTCAAGCACAAGGATATCCATAAAGTAACATGGATTTGATTTCACTAGACACCAGGACACACCAAAAATCAGATCGACTTTATCTCAATCTCAAGAAAATGGAGACGCAGTCTACTTGACACAAGAAGGGTCAAGAAGGGGAGCAGATGTATGCTCGGACCACTCACTATTTAGAGCAAACAACCATCCAAATCAAGTTAAAAGCCTTCAAGGAAGTTGGTGATAGACCACAGTTCAAGTTGAACACCCAGAACAGAAAGTGAAGGACGAAACTACAAAGGAAATCTTCACGGTCGCCAGCCATCAAGACAAAATGGGAGATATCGAGCAGCATCCTTGAAGAAACCTGTGTGGAAGAAGAACACTGGAACTCTTTGAAAGCTATGTGGAAAGAAACCTGCACAGCCGTATTAGGAAGGAAGAAGAAAGAAGATAAGGAATGGAATGGATCTCGACGAATACATGGAAGCTGATAGAGCAGGCAGGGAGAGGAGACTGATGAAGCAGAAGATAAACCAGTGCAAGGATGCTCAATGACAAGAGGAACTGAGTACAATGTATAAAACACTGCAGTGGACAAAGAGGTGAAGAAGATTGCACAGAAAGACAAAAGATATTTCTACGACACATTGGCAAGTGAAGCAGAATAGGCTGCAGCTAGAAGAGACCTGACAACACTGTATCAAATAACCAGTTCACTATCTAGGAAGAGATCAACCCAGGTGGAATCAATGAGAGATAGCGAAGGAAAGCTAGTTACCAAAGAAGAGAAACAAAGGAAACAATGGGCTGACCACTTCAGAAAGCCCTTGAATTGACCACCACCTACACTTCATCCAGAAATACCACCTGCAGCCACAGAAACACTGAGAGCAGACGCAGAAACAACAGTGGACGTGCTCACACCACACCACTACTGTGGAAGGTGTGGAAGGAAGGACAGGTACCTGGCGATTGGAAGAAGGGCTATCTTGTCAAACCCCCAAAGAAGGGTGGTCTAAGCCTTTGCAATAACTGGCGAGGAATGATGCTTCCGTCCACCTCCAAGCAAGCAAAATATTATGCTGCATCATCCCGGAGAGACTAAAGGATGCACTGGATCCAAAACTACGACCCAAACAAGCTGGATTCAGGAAGTAAATATCATGTGCTGATCAAATTGCAACTCTACACTACGCATCATCATAGAACAGAGCATAGAATGGCAGTCAACTCAACTTCATCGACTTTGAAAAGGCCTTCGACAACGTCAACCCACAAGTAATTTGGCAACTGCTTCAACACCACGGAGTGCCACTAGTCCTTATCAACCTCATTCAACAGCTATATGAGGACGCCACATGTCAAGTGATCTACAGTGGAAAGCCCAGTGACGCCTTCGAAGTGAAGACAGTAAGGAGTAAGACAAGGCTGCCTACTATCACCTTTGATCTTTCTGATTGTGGTCAACTGGACTCCATCGTGGAAGAAATTTTGAGGAGCGAGAAGAGGGGGATACACTGGCTGGACCGATGAAAGACCCCGGAAGAAGATTTGGATTTCGCCGATGATGGTTTATATCTAATGTCGAACAAACTTGAAGATCTACAGGCGAAAACTATGAGGTTGACATAAGAGGCAGGGCAGCAAAGACGGGACTTCAGGTGAACGTAGAGAAGACAGAGGTGATGAAGATACCCAACCATTAATAACAAGCACCAATCACCATGAACGGCAGAAACCTGAAGGAAGTAATCTCTTTCACCCATCTAGGCAGCATTGTTTCAACTACAGGCGTCACAGACGAGGACACGAAAGCCGGGATCGGAAAAGCAAGACAGGCTTTTATTAACCTGAAATCAGTGTGGAGATCTTCTGCACTCAGCATGTGAAACAAGATTCAGATTTTTAACACCAACGTCAATTCAGTGCTCCTATATGGTTCGGAAACTTGGCGCGTTATAAAAAGCATTTCCAACAAACTAAAAGTATTCATCAATAGCTGCCACCTACGCTCCCTCGATACTGACACTGTAGATCATATGGCCAGAATAATAAAAATAAGCAACAAGGAATTCTGGCTGGCTGGTGACTAACCAACCAAAAACCTATCACTCAACAAATATGCGGTGGAGGAAAGTGGAGACGGATTGGGCATACACTGAGAAGACCATTCGGGGACAACACGCACTAGGCCAGGCCCTCGAGTGGAATCCAAAGAGGAGCCGACGAATTCGGCGTCCCAACTGAGGGTGACATGGAGGATATCATGCGAAGAAGAAATGAAAGTTTGTGGGCAATCGTGGAGACAGGTTTTGAAGACTGCAGAGAAAAGAGTGAAATTGCGACACGCTACTGTAGCCTTACATTCCACTAGGAACCCAAAAGACAAATAATGATAATATCAGAGATGGTGAAGTTGTGGGTAATTAGTTTGGTGAGATGACTCCCGACATATGGATCACAGGTTGGAACACAGCTCCACTTACGGAGGTTTGCAAAGCCAGGTGGCATCAATAGCCCTCACACGCGTAGGTGTGTCTCATAAGCTTACTGCACGAATATGCCCAAGGCTGCTGCGTACGCTTCAATTTCCGTATAAGTGATGAGTTTAATATTCTACTCTATAGAATTGATCGAAAGGCTTATACTATAAATTCAATGAAATTAGCTCCCTTTCCTTTAGTGATATGAATCCTCAGCTCAAACACAAACTTGATACCATTCAAAAATCTTTAATATCGAGTAAGAAAATTCGCCCATGATTTATCCACACAGCTGTCAATGCCAAAGTAACAAAGTATTCATTTCTTTGGAAAAAAATGAGTTTAGAGGTATTCTTATTATTTTAAGCAAAGTTAAGCGTTTAATGTTTCAGTACTTACTAAATGATGAGTATTCAATCTAGGTCCTGTTCTAGCACCCAAAGTGTATCCACGTGAACTAATAGGTTTTTTGTTCAAGTCATGAGTTATCGTTGTCTATAACAAATCCACAAAGTATGAAAAAAGAGGAAATTTATCGAGAAAAGTTTGTTTTACTTGAATATTGTATGTTGTTGGTCCAGCTAATCCGTTAGTATTGATTGGTGTTAGAGTTATTCCAAGACGATGATGGGGTATAGCCTCTGGATACAATACGCGTTTCTGACATGATTCGAAGGAGAATAATGTTTTCCGTTTGGATAAAATGGCTATGAAGAATGTATGCAAAAAGAGAAAAAGAGGGACAAAGCAGAATTGAGCATCTGGTTAGTTATTAAGCATATATACTGATAGTGTACATGATTGAAAATTTTACCTAAGCTGAGTTATTGACAAATTGAACATCCAACGTAGACATTTTTAACAGCTGAATAATTTTTCTACTGCACGACTGTGTTAATAATGTCACTTAGCCTGGTGATGGTGAAGGGTCAAAGACCATCCTCAAAGCTCGGAGAACACTAAATCATTATCAGACTGCCTCTTTGTACTACCTTATTCAAGTTCACAAAAGGCGCCAAATGTTTCAAGCAATAAATCTACTTTTCTGGACCATACTGGTGTTAAACTAAGCAAAGTAGAGTACAATTAAATTTGAATTAGTCAGTTAGCATCAGCACAAGACTTGGCAGCAATGAGTAACTGTCCGAGTTACCACACTTCATATCAGTATAGAGAGATACTAGTTATCAACATGAGACAGTGAGAGAGAAATAGGTGAAGAAAATGTAATGAAGACTGGTAGATAGTCAGAAGGATAAGAAAGGAAGGCGAAACCTTATAGCGACCAGGCGATAGTAACGCACCACGAATACACACAATAGGGGGGGGGAGACCTTGGTGATTGAAGCAAAATTAAAGTCTGACCAGCAGTCGGGTATCTTAGCTCAGTTGGTAAGGGACTGAACTGGTAACGAGGAGGTCACTGGTTCAAGTCCTTCCGTTGTCCAGATTTTCATTTCACCTTCACTTACTACCTAATATAAATATAAATCTGCCAAACCACAGTTATTTCAGGTAGTCAAACTAATATGAGTTATAACAGTTGTGGTGAGGATAAATGTGGATGTCTCTGCACAACTAAGGTCGATTCCGAGCCACATCAGATACAGAATTTAATCCACAATTCCGGTTGAGAAATCTGGATAGCGTAATTACAGTGTGGATGAAGGGGGTTTTAATGTGTTAGGAGAGACCAATCCCCTTGAGGTAGTAGAAACGCCTTGCTGATGAGTGCCAAAAAGCTCGAAACCTAGGTGTACTAGAGTTTCCTCCCGATTTCCCTCAACCTCTATCGAATATATAGTTTATCCATTTATCTAACTTAACTTTATAAATTAATAAAGTGGACTAACTGCTTCGAATTCATGACTAATCTGATCATACGGAATGAATGTTACTAATAACTAAAAGTGTCTTATTTGTCAAATAATTTCAGTATGAATTAAAATAAATAATTCGATATCCATAACACAAAGTGTTAAATTTTGATTTCATATGTAAACAGTCAGTTATGAGGGAATTTGCTGCTTCATAAAGATTCCTCTGTGACTACGAAAAAGACCATGTTCTCATGGGAATTTCAACGTTTTTCATCCAATTCTGAAATCAGAGACTGTATGAGAAGTCTATTGTCGAAACCAAATCATTTCAACGATTCGGTCACTTGATTGCAACCAAGAGAGCTGCTTTCAAATACAGACTTGGTAGACAGACTTCGAAAGACAGTGACGACTTGATATCAGTATTAGCTAACGTTGATTGACTATAATTGTAAAACCTTTTGGTTGAATCGGGATCAAAGTTCATACAGATACTTGCACACTTTCGCAATTTCTCAGATAGACTTCTACGTATAGCCAGAAAGATTCAAAATTTCGGTAAATATACTTCCTGGGAAGCAGCCTTATTATATGCCTTTCTATTAGATTGTCTGCTTCTGTAAATGCTAGCACAGTTAGTTCTATCACTTAGCAATGAATGATAACCTTTACATTGAAATTTATTCCTTGAGACTACTCATACATAATCAGAGCTCATCTTAAACTGAGACTAAATCAGAAAACCATCAAGCTGGTGTAACCACACAAATAAGTGAAGTGGTCAGTCGATTCAAGCACTTTACTCTCCATCCATAAACTAGGAGTAAGGGCAGACAAGCTCGAAGCATCACCTCACACTTGATAGAGGCATAACACATGTCAAGTACTTTCAAATTTCTCCTCAAAAATTTCAGAAGACTTAGAATTTTATCAGAATCTTCACCTGATAGGTTAATGTCATCTGTATAAGATCCAAGCAGGCCAGCTGCTTTATAGAAAGTAGGTCAGTCCCTGTGAAGTCACTGACACCTAGAAATGCATCCTCTATCACAGTTATAGCAAAGTTGAACAAGAATCATAAGAGGCATCTTAATCAAACACCACTGGTTATCAAAACTCTAGACAACGATCCACCACAAGCTTTCGTACAGCTTAGTGGGTAACAGGAGAAAGCCTTGGTTAGCATTACACAGTTGCTCGACACTCTCTCCCCATTTAGACACTACCATAACACCTCTTGGTCGGTGGTGTAGAATGCTGCCTTCACGTCAAGAAATATGACAACTGTAGGCTGTACGTAAGCGTGCCGGCGGAAGGATAAGGATCAAATCTTTGCATCTTCATCCACTCCTCGAATCTGCATGGTTTTCTCGAGTTTGTTAAACTCAAACCCCAGTTAGACACCATAAAAGTAAGATTTATTCCCCTCTAGTTGCAATGCAAGTACCTCCTTCTTTTTTATAGGCTGGAATGATCAGTGATCTACACCATTTCGACGAGACTACTTTTAGATCATATAGGTTAACTGGTACCTCCTTTGCATTACTCAATAAGTTTTTAACTCCATTCTTGAAAACTTCTGGTGGTAAACCGTCAAGTCACAAAGCTATGCACAATCTTATGTTCGAAATTGCCATCTTGATCTCGAGAAAAATTGGAGGACCGACATTTATGTTTCATTCAGGTAATTAAAGTATAACTTTAGGTCATTGAAACTGCTTTTCAAAATGTCCCACTCAACGTTCAAGCCGGTTGTCCCGACTGGTTAACACGAACTTATCCGCTTCGGTGATAGGATAGCTAACCATGGCCTTCTTCTCGACAATGTCTTAGGAGCCGAATTAACTGCAGAATATATCCCAATGATGATGCTTTCTATGTTTATTTCAGCACTGCTCATATTCATTGTGAGGACTCTTATTCACCGTACGTTGAAACTGCTTTCAGTCTACTCGCTTTCTAAATTTAGAATATCCTACTGACTTTGAATCGTGTATCATCTTTCTTTACATATACTCTTGTCTTAGTTACTGCCATACTAGTGATATACACTACTTTTTGTGTGAGAAAATGAAACATTAAAAATCCACATTTTGCCCCTATCTTATTGTTATTATTATTATTTGTCCGTTGAGTTCCTAGTGGAACATACGGCTTCAGTAGCACGTCTCCAGTGTACTCTACTCTCTGCAATCTTTTGAACCTGACTCCATCACTGCCCATTAGTTCTCATTTATTCCTCGCACGACCTCCTTCATGTCATCCTCAGTTGCGACACCCAACTCGTCGTTTCCCGTCTGTGTTCCACTCGAGTGCCTGGCCTAGTGCGTGTTGTCCCCGAATGGTCTTCTCAGTGTATGCCCAATCCGTCTCCACTTTCCTCCACCGCATATTTGTTGAGTGATAGGTTTTTGGTTGGTTAGTCACCAGCCAGCCAGAATTCCTTGTTGCTTATTTTTATTATTCTGGCCATATGATCTACAGTGTCAGTATCGAGGGAGCGTAGGTGGCAGCTATTGATGAATACTTTTAGTTTGTTGGAAATGCTTTTTATAACGCGCCAAGTTTCCGAACCATATAGGAGCACTGAATTGACGTTGGTGTTAAAAATCTGAATCTTGTTTCACATGCTGAGTGCAGAAGATCTCCACACTGATTTCAGGTTAATAAAAGCCTGTCTTGCTTTTCCGATCCCGGCTTTCGTGTCCTCGTCTGTGACGCCTGTAGTTGAAACAATGCTGCCTAGATGGGTGAAAGAGATTACTTCCTTCAGGTTTCTGCCGTTCATGGTGATTGGTGCTTGTTATTAATGGTTGGGTATCTTCATCACCTCTGTCTTCTCTACGTTCACCTGAAGTCCCGTCTTTGCTGCCCTGCCTCTTATGTCAACCTCATAGTTTTCGCCTGTAGATCTTCAAGTTTGTTCGACATTAGATATAAACCATCATCGGCGAAATCCAAATCTTCTTCCGGGGTCTTTCATCGGTCCAGCCAGTGTATCCCCCTCTTCTCGCTCCTCAAAATTTCTTCCACGATGGAGTCCAGTTGACCACAATCAGAAAGATCAAAGGTGATAGTAGGCAGCCTTGTCTTACTCCTTACTGTCTTCACTTCGAAGGCGTCACTGGGCTTTCCACTGTAGATCACTTGACATGTGGCGTCCTCATATAGCTGTTGAATGAGGTTGATAAGGACTAGTGGCACTCCGTGGTGTTGAAGCAGTTGCCAAATTACTTGTGGGTTGACGTTGTCGAAGGCCTTTTCAAAGTCGATGAAGTTGAGTTGACTGCCATTCTATGCTCTGTTCTATGATGATGCGTAGTGTAGAGTTGCAATTTGATCAGCACATGATATTTACTTCCTGAATCCAGCTTGTTTGGGTCGTAGTTTTGGATCCAGTGCATCCTTTAGTCTCTCCGGGATGATGCAGCATAATATTTTGCTTGCTTGGAGGTGGACGGAAGCATCATTCCTCGCCAGTTATTGCAAAGGCTTAGACCACCCTTCTTTGGGGGTTTGACAAGATAGCCCTTCTTCCAATCGCCAGGTACCTGTCCTTCCTTCCACACCTTCCACAGTAGTGGTGTGGTGTGAGCACGTCCACTGTTGTTTCTGCGTCTGCTCTCAGTGTTTCTGTGGCTGCAGGTGGTATTTCTGGATGAAGTGTAGGTGGTGGTCAATTCAAGGGCTTTCTGAAGTGGTCAGCCCATTGTTTCCTTTGTTTCTCTTCTTTGGTAACTAGCTTTCCTTCGCTATCTCTCATTGATTCCACCTGGGTTGATCTCTTCCTAGATAGTGAACTGGTTATTTGATACAGTGTTGTCAGGTCTCTTCTAGCTGCAGCCTATTCTGCTTCACTTGCCAATGTGTCGTAGAAATATCTTTTG